AAGAAAATAAAGCACATAAAGGTTAAGTAACTTGTGCAAGGTCACATAGTAGATGGAGCTGCCAGATTTGAATCTATGCAGCCTGGCGCCAGTGCATTGTCATTTGAACTACCACTCTAAATTGATGTCCATAAAGTAAAAAGGGCAGCACAGATCAAGCAAATCCGAATAAACAACAAAAGAGTGGAAGTGACAGCAATTTTAGTCATTGGAAAGAGAAAAATGGAAATTTATCAATGATGAATGATACAATTTATAATCACACACACACACACACCCCTCAAACTTTACCTGCTCCCTCTCACTATTGGTGTGCACTATGTGTTAGGAGCTGTACCCCTTAGGACAAAGAAATATCCTGGCCAGGAGTGCCCAGAACCTTGCAGGCCTGACCCTATAGCAGATATTCAGGAATGAATAAGCTAGTAACGAAACAAAGAAAGATCAGGATTGAACCTTTATGTGCAGAATTAAAAATAATAAAATACCTAAACATAAAAGGAAGTTATTTGAAAATAAGTGAAATAACATCCTTAAGACACAGTAGACAAAGAACCCAGCTGAACCCAGTCACGCAGGGACACACTATACACACACACACACAAAACCCTCAAGCCCCACCTGCTCCCTCCGTTCACTGCTTGTGCCCACTATTCATTAGGAGCCTTACCCTTTCACATCTGCTGAACTATTATCCATCGAATTTTATATCAAAGCCCATTTTCCACAACTTGGCAAAATTTCACAGTATTTACCCCCCAAAAGTCCACTTCCACAAGCAAATTTCAGGTCTTCTTCAAGATAAAATGACATATTTACTAAAGCACTTTTTAACTTCTTAACCATTTACCGTGTGTAAAGCTAAGCTAGCATCATTATTAGTGTATCTTTTCTGTCCGTTTGTCATTAGCTAATTATTTGGGCCTGCATCCTGTTCTCATTTTTTCCATAAACTGTGTTTTTTATATTGTACAGTTCTGCATAACATGGTGGTTTCTAAGAATATGTATGTGGCAATACAGCAGAACTAACTATATATACAGATGAAAAGTTATTGTAAATATAGACATAGTAGATATCCACCAAACTCTACGAGCTACAGACACTTTCTTTTCAAGTACCAGAAGGTTCCCTGACATTGATCACATTAAGCTATAAAAGAAAAGGTTTAAAAAATCCCAAAGAGGGCCTCTCCTGGTGGCACAGTGGTTGCGTGCTGGGCTGCAAAGCTGACCACAGCCTCTGCAGCACCGGTTCGATCCCAGACCACCGGGCGAGAGTCCCACCTGGTGCGCAGACCACTCCTGCTGTGCCTGCTGCTCCCCTCATCAGTGTATTTCGTCAGTCTGCCTGCTCTGTTCCCCACTCTGTCTCTGGTGGATTCTCTCACCCTCCCGCACTTCTTACTGTTCCCAGTTTTGTATAAATCTTAAAAAAAAAAATTCCAAAGAATAATACTTGTGTAGTCTGTACTATGATGAAGTTAAGGCATTAAAACTAGTTTTTTAACATTGAAAGTCTAATTGGGAACAAAACAACACTTGGAAATTAAAAATTATTTTCCTAACAGAACAAAATTCCAAGAGAAAGCAGTAACAACAGCGATAGAACATTTAGGGAAAATATAATAATGAAAAAATGGTATATTAAAAAAGTTTGAAAGCTAGAGCACCACTAAAAAGCATGCATATAGAGATATGTTCCTTATTAAAAGAAACTGAAGAAACTGGTTCATTTTGTATTGGTGATAGCAAGAGAAAGGAATCAGTAAACAAAACAAAGATCAAGACTATAAACCTGTAAAATATTGTTTTCTGATGCCTGGAAGGGAGACCAAAAGAAAAAATAAAATCACAAAAATGTTAGTTTTAGCCAACCTAATCAAGATGAAGAAAAAAATCAAATTCCCAAATAATAAAACAGAACTACACCTGTGATATTCTTAAAATCTGAACAATCTCAGTAACATCTCTAATATAATTTTTATGGAAAATATGACATCAACTGTACTCAAAGAGTAAAGTAAGACCTAAAACACAAACATTGTTAATCTTAACACTTGATCAAAGAACTACCTCTAAGACAAACACTAGTTCCATAAGGTTTTTATAGGACAATTCTTAATTTTTAAAAGGTTGCAAAGCTAGGTAGCTTAAGGATTCTGTTTGGTTGTGTGTGTGGGTGTGTGAGAGCGCAATGTGGTGTTAACCTAAATTAGCTAACATTTAAATTTAAAAAGTCAAGATATTTTACATAACATTTTGGAATTCCAGCTTATCTTGAATAATTGGAGGAATATCTTGACAACTCAGACATGTGTGGTTGGAGTGGAAGAATAGGTAGGCCCTCTGAGTGCGGCATGGATTTTTGGTCCATCTGTTACCCCTACTGCCCATAGCACTTCAGTGTGGCACATTCCTGGAGAGCCTTATAAGCATTTTTTAAGCTTGCCATCAAGTTAAAAAAAAAAAAAAAAAAAAAAAATCCCAATGTATGATGATGGAAGACCAATTCCCCTCAAATTACCTTTAAATTTGTATTCCTATTTTCATCAAAATATTTTTAGGGCCTCCCCGGTGGTACAGTGGTTGAGCGCTAGGTTGCAAAGCTGCCCACAGCCTCTGCAGCGCTGGTTCAATTCTGGCTGCCAGCGAGGGTCCCACATGGCTCACAGACCTCTCCTGCCACCCGTTGCTCCCCTCGGCAGTGTACTTCGTCAGTCTGCCTGTTCTGCTCCCTGCTCTGGCTCTGGTGAATTCTCTCACCCTCCCGCGCTTCTGACTGTACCCAGTGCTTGTATAAATAAATCTTTAAATAAATAAATAAATAAATAAAATACTTAAAAAAATATTTTTAATAGGATAGGAATAATTTAACAAATTATTCTAATACTCTTAGGAAAAATTAAGTGGTCACTCACAAAAAAAAATTTTCAGTAAAGAAAGACAAGGGGATGGGCCTCCCTGGTGGCGCAGCAGGTTGAGCGCAGTGCTATGAAGCTGTCTACAGCCTCTGTAGCACGGGTTCAATTCCTGGCCAGCCGGGGAGATACCCACATGGCATGGCAGACCTCTCCTGTCTCGCTTGCTGCTCCCCTCAGCAGTGTATTTTAGTCAGTCTGCCTGTTCTGTTCCCCGCTCTGTCTCTGGTGAATCCTCTCACCTTCCCACACATCTGGCCTGTACCCCAGTTCTTGTATAAATAAATAAATCTTAAAAAAAAAAAAAAAAGAAAACAAAGACAGGGGAAAACTTAAATTAATAAAACATAAAGCTGTAACAATTACAGTGAAAAAGAAACTCCATGAAAGAGATCCAAACAGCAGAAACAATGAATAGTTAAACATAAGACATGGCACTTAAAATCAGTAGAAATGAATGGACTACATGAATCTCAGGGAAGCAGCCCCACAGGACAAGGGACTAGCCCCCAGGGCCGGACTGGATGGCATTCCTGAGCAGTGGTCCAACAGGGTGCCCCTGCATTAGCAGTGTCCTTATCTGCAAAATGAAGATAATCACTGTATCTACTTCATAGGATTGTTGGGAGGATTAGCATTTGTAAAGTACGAGTACTGTATAAATAATCTTAAATAAAAGAAAGCAATTCATTCTAAGATAATCCTTAAACTACTAGAAAGTGTGCATGAAGATTTGAACAGAAACTTCCATCACACCACATTAGTAAAATAAATTCCAGGAGTTTAGATAGTGAAGGGCAAAAAGTTAAACTAGGGAAGAAAGGACCATTTATTTGATCTCCATATTGGGGAAGAGCATTTTAAATATGACAGCCAAGTTAGTATCAAGAAAACACAGTAGATTTGACTACATAAAAATTGTATAAGCCTATATGTCAAGCACTGAAAAGTAAGAAGAAAATTAAAACTATAGGAAAAATAAGCATTGGTGTATGTGTACATATTCTTACAAATTCTTACAATCAAGCAATACACAAGGTTCTGCCTGCATCTATGAAAACATACGCAACTTTATATCACTTTTAATCAAAAGTACAAACTAAAATCCTTACTTGTCAAATTGGTCAAGGTTTAGAAAAAATAATGTTGTTAGTCAATAGGCAGAGAAATTGGTTTACTTCTACATAAATAATACACTGAAATAATCTTTCTAGGAGTCACTTTGATTATATGCTTAGAAAAACTTCTAAAATATTAAGACCCATTAATTCCATGAGTCCATTTCCAGGACAAAGCTGGAGCACAAGGATTTCCTCTTTTTTTTTTTCAAATGGAGCTACCATATTACCCAGCAATTCCACTCCTAGGAATATACCCAAAGGACACTAAAACATCAATTTGAAAGAAAACCTGCACACCGATATTTATTGCAGCACCATTTACTATAGCTAAGATATGGAAACAACCTAAATGCCTAACAACAGATGAATGGATCAAAATGATATGGCATATATATGAAATTGAATACTACTTAATCAAAAAAGATAAACGCATGCCATTTGCAGAAACATGGATGGAATTGGAAGGGATTATGCTCAGTGAGATAAGTCAGAGAAAAAAGAAAAATGCTGGATGGTTTCACTTATAAGAGGATTATAGGGGAAATAAATAAGGGATCGGGGAATAAAAAAAAAGACAAAACTAGCAAGCAACTATAAATCAGCAATATTCAGCAGGGGAGAAGGGAGAAGGATTAAAACAGGGGCTGGAAGAGCACAAGAGACTATGGTGATGGTCACAGGTGATCTGATAGTGGGAATTTTATGAGGACTACACCTGAGAGGAGAAATCAAACATTGTACAAAAATGAACAATGATGTAAAATACATATACAAAAATAAATGCAATCAAAAAAAAAAGTCATTTTTTTCAGAGCTGAATCATAGTTAATGAAAAAAGTATGTAAAGAAATATTTTAAGTTGCAGATATAAAACTATATCTTTTAAAAACTTAACATCTGTCACTGTATAATTAATGTTTAGTATTATCAAATTTCAAAAGAAAATTTTAAAAACTAACCTTTTAACAGCATCCTTCTTCTGAGTATCTATGGTATCCCACCACTTAGAAAGATAGGAGATCTCAGACCACATAAATTTCCTCCGGGAGTCTTCTTTCAGCTTGATAACCATGTTATTAAAAATATACTGAGTCTTCTCTCTAAAGTACTCATCAAAAGTCTTCAACCAACCTAAATCAAGATACAAATATACCATAAAGGTCTGGTTCACCTATCTGATTAAAACTCAGGCACAGTTCATTACATTACCTTTGGATACTCTTAGATGTTTCATTCATATGAAGATATATCTTAAAATTTAATATGTATTTTCAAATTATGAAATTCAAGTAGAATGAACAGGAGAATCAAAAAATGACCATGTTGAAAAGAAAGAACACTGAAAACTGCAAAAATTTAGAAATAAGAAAAATATGATCTAAGACCTAAAAAGCATTTATTTATACTAAACAATTAGTATATAATTCAACATAGTCTCTTTTCATAATCTCTCTCTAGTTTAAGAAACTTTTTAAATTGAAAAAAATCTAAAGTGTTTACAAGTTAGCTGGACTGTATTCATAATAAGGAATAAATGTTTATCTCAGTATGCCACATCTAAATTGCCCTACCCATTAAGTAAATTAAACTAAGGAAAAAAGTTCCAAGTACAAGCTATATCTAAGTATCAATATCAGAGCAATAATTAATTATAATATTACTATGAATATGAAAAAAGCAGAATTCTGCTCCAAAATATTCATTAGTACTGGAGATTTCATTTTTACACTTCTGAAAACACCAACTGACCCTAATCAAACAACGAATGTGTACATATCTATGCAAAGTTTTTTTAAAAGAAAATTGCTGATGTTGATGACTTAGTTTTCTGACATTTCATACTACTCAAGTAAACTAGAAATTTTATTTAAGACATTTGCAATTCAACTATAAAGAAACATTTTTAACAAGACCTATTAATTCGAACATCTGGCAGAACTAAAGCAACATGATGAGTGGCTGCGGGAAAACCTAGTCACCAATTCCACCTACTGCTGGCGAGCAAAGGGGACCCTCTGGATAAACTGCTTATCTATGAAATCTTATGGGAGTTTCTATTCTTCCAGGCTGAGCTGCTCCATTTTTTTACAAACCCTCAAACACATGAGTTGATTTAAGGAGTCTAACTGGCTTTGGACTATGATTAAGTGATTAAGTTCATATTCAATGAATATGTATAACTGCTAGCAAAAAAAATAATAACACTCACCAGAAGAGACAACACAACTATTTTGAAAAGAAAAATATGTATGAACTTCTGAAAAGGACACTGCCACTTTGTCCATCTCCCCTGCTTTCACTGAAAACCATTCATTCTGTAGCTATTAGCACCTACCAAATGACAGATATGAATCAAATAGAAATACAGTACAAAATACTCTTTATAACACTTTTTAAATCCAGGGCATTGTATCCTGGTTTGTCACCAAAGAATACTACCTTGAACAATTCAACATATTTAAGTTTAAATTAAAAAAAACCTGTAACTGTATTTAGAAATAGGGTCATTAAGTTATTAAGGTAAAAGGAGGTTATGAAGGTGGGACCTAATCCAATATGGTTTTATTAATTTTTTAAAGATTTATTTTATTTATTTATGCATACAAGAGCTTTGGTGTAGACCAGAGGTGCGGGGGGTGAGAGGATTCACCAGAGACAGAATGGGGAGCACAACAGACAGACTAACTGAAATACACTGCTGAGGGCAGCAGTGGTCAAGACAGGAGAGGTCTGCTGCACCATGTGGGTTAGCTCCCTGGTCAGTGGATCTAACTTGTGCTGCAGTGGCTGGTGGTAGCTTCATAATGCTGAGACTTAATCCCTTGCGCCTCCAGGGAGGCCCCCAATATGGTTTCATAAAAAGAGACAATTATGACATAGATACACACAAAAGAAAGACCATCTGCAAGCCAAGATGAAAGCTCCCCCCAAGACACCAACACAGCTGACATCTTGATTTTGGACTTTTGTAGGCTAGACGCCTCCAGTAACTTTGTTAGGACTACCCTTGCACACCAATACAGTCCTAGAAAAAAATTAGTGTTACTAGTATACAAAAAATAAAGATAGCAACGTGGGGAGAATTTATTTTACCAAATATCATTGTAATATTTATAACGTACATCCACCATCAAATTGCAAACCTGAGCTGAAATAAAATGTAATATCTATTTCTGTGCCATGCTATAGTTATATATGATCCATAAAGACCATGTGCATTATTTAAATGGCTCTATTGAATATTGTCAGTACATCACATAAACCTTTTGTTTAAATTTTAAAAGTAAAAACCAATCCCTATTTAGCTATTAACTAAGTTAAAGAACTGTGAGCAAAAGATAGCTTCCAAAACTAACTTAGTAATACAACACTAGGGCCTCCCCTGTGGCGCAGCAGTTGAGCGCTGGGCTACAAAGCTGCCCGCAGCCTCTGAAGCGCCAGTTCAATACCGGCCGCCAGCGAGGGTCCCACATGGCACGACAGACCTCTCCTGCCGGGCCCGCTGCTCCCCTCAGCAGTGTATTTCATGAGTCTGCCTGTTCTGTTCCCTGCTCTGGCTCTGGTGAATTCTCTCACCCTCCCGCGCTTCTGACTGTACCCAGTGCTTGTATAAATAAATAAATCTTAAAAAAAATAAATAAACACTAGTAATCTAGCACAAAAGGCAATTTTAGAATAGACATTGTGAAGATTAATAAGGGGTTTTTTTAATACCATTATTTATTTTCATTACTTATAATTTATTATGGACTAAGACCATTTCAAAGAATAGTTTGTCACAGGAGTTTTTATAGTGGAATCATAGTGACTGATTAATCCTCTCTGCCTGTAACACTTTATTTGCCCTTCAACAATCATGCAGAAAAAATGTCAAAGATATTTACGTGAGCCAAAATAAAAGTTCAAGGATGTCAGTTTAAAAGCCTTCCATAAAACTCATAAATAATAGATACTAATATCACTACAATATAGCACAATTAATGAAGAATGAACTGAAAGATAGCCTCTTACAGGTTTCAATATTGAGTAATATAACAGTAAATTAGTTTTTATTGCTCATACAATAGAGTAATCAAGTATTGTTTTTTATACTTAATTGACTCTTTTTCTAAATTACTGTAAAAGTACAATTGTACATTAACAAGAGACCAATCAGAAAGACTGTATTTTATAAAAAGCTTTATGTGATGAATCTGTGTGACATAAAATTTTATTCCTATCTCTAGATTTCATAATCTTAGGACAATGAGTTGCAAACTGATTTACTTAAGTGGTCAGTTCACAGCCTTTCTTCCTTTCCCTTGAATACACTTAACGGTTGAACCAGGGCTAGAAAGCATTAAGATACCTTTAAATTTTTCTTTTTCTCTCAAATGACACAATGACCAATGAACAGCTAAGAGCAATTTTAAGTAAGTTGGGAAATATTTAAAGCAAAATTATCTATAAAGCAGGCCTGGACTGAAATTAGATATTTTAGGATTAAAAAAATTTAAGTTCTAAAATACAAAGTTAATAAAGTTGAAAACACTATTTTTAATATATATGAATAAGTAAATACCTAGTAATTGTTCAAGGACAAAACATAATTTACTTTTTTAATTGCGACTTTTAATCACAGCTCTGATGTCTAGAGACTTTGTATAGATCTGATCCTCATAAGAAACATTCAGCTTTATTTGGTTCAAGGGCATATACGGCACCACTTTTAGTGTCTGCACAGAGGGACCCATCCTGAGCCCTGAACACTAAAGGGATATTCCACTGTTCCTCTCACCATACAGTAAATCCACAGGGCAAAGAATTTGCCCAACCAGAGTCTGTCCTGTCCTGCCCTGCCCTGCCCTGCCCTGCTCTTTTTAGTAGTTTGGATCCAGAAATCTGTGTCCAAACAACCCTAAGCCAGCTTCTAGAAGGGGATGGAAAACAACACTGGGATTTTCTAAGTCCTTCCAGTCACAACAGTTGACCTTGCCCTAGCCTGAGCAAAGGCCCAGGGATTGCAGTTTGTAGAGGTGTGGAAAGAGTGCTGGGGTGTCTCCAATATCCCTTCTAGTTTAGAACATGGTCAAGGGTCTAAGAAGAGGTTGGGCTGCTAGATAGGCTGGCATAACCCATACACCCCTTCACATTACACTGGGGAACTGGAGTCAAAGCAATCTAAACCCATACTTGGCTTTCTAGATCAGTGAGTTTGTTCTCAAGGGTAGAGGAAAGGAGCTATCTTCTTCAACAATGTATTTATTTGATCTGTAACTCTTAAAAATTTAGACATTAGGTATGAGGGTCTCTGTGTACTTCTTAATTCTGCACCAGGTGTTGTAAATTTTAGAAGCAGGACTGGATACACACTGCAATTTGAAATTCAAATCAGTCAATTCTCAAGAATCTAGCATTCAGTACATAGCCTACAGCAGCAATAGTTGAACAGATACTTAACAGATGAATGAAATGTATGGTCAAAGAGTATGTACACTTTGACAATTGTTTTTCTTCAACTAGAAATTAAATCAAAGGTAAAATTAAATTTAAAGTAAGTAAAAAAAGCATACTATTAGTGCTAATGTCTGTTTTGATGCTAACCAAATAATCTTTGCCCAATAAATTTAAGTTTCTATAGTATTTATATTTTAAAAAGTTCTGTCAAGAAGATTTTTTTTTTTACTAGTCCATTCTTTTTTATTTTTTTCTCTTTTGAATTTTTTTTATTTAAATATTTTATTTAATATAATTGTTACATCTTTTTTCATCTTTGCACAATGTATGCCTTTTCATTTTGGTTATATTCCCCATACAATTGTACCTCCCCCCTTATTTTGACTCTAGTCCGTCCTTTCCCCGCCCCTCACCCCCCAACCCCTCATAGTGTGTCTCTGGTTTATAGTTGCTTGTTGATTTTGATTTTTACTTTGTATTGATTAGTCTTTTTCCTGGTCCCTTATTTAGGTTTTCTAGATTCCTGTTATGAGTGAGACCATCCGGTATTTTTCTTTTTCATTCTGAGTTATTTCGCTGAGCATGATCCCTTCTAGCTCCATCCATGTTGCTGCAAACTGCATATGTTTATCTTTTTTTGATTGCTGAGTAATATTCCATTGTGTATATGCACTACATCTTCTTGATCCAGTCAT